GAGGTCTCACTGCTCCCACAGTGACCCCTTATCGCTCATTTCTCCACCTAGGAGCCACAGATCCACCATGTTCCTTTGGACATGCAAGTAAAGCCATGCCACTTCTGTGCTTAAACCATCTAGTGGCTCCCTGTCTCACACGGGGTGAAATACAGAACTCCCCCTGAGACCTTCAAGGCCCTGCTTGCTGTGTGCTCACCCCTACTTCTGGTTTCACCACCTGACACTATCCCCCAGCTCACCCTGCTCCAGCTTCCTCAAGCACATGGGATTTGCTGTTCCAGAAAGAATCAGGTGAGCCTCCTGTTTATTTAGATGTACAGCAATGGGGCTGGGGCAGGGCCTTTTTGGTGACTCGATTAAGGCTACCCATCCCTCCATCACCAAAGTGTAGGAAGAGAAGGACCTTCCTGAGAAGAAAGAAATGGACACTCAGATCTTCTCCCTTTCGAGTTTGAAAAGGGTTTGGATGTCTACAGATCGAGGTGATTTTGGGCTGAGGCAGGTCTACAGGGAGAAGACACCTCAAAGGTCATCCGCAGGCTGCAGAACGCAGGGGAGTCTGGCCCAGGGTGTCATGGGGCAAGATTGCTGTGAAGGAGTGTTGGGTGGGGACGCCTCCCCACCTGGTTTGGGGTGCATGTTTGGTGGGGGGCGTTGGGAGTCAGGCTGCTTTGGGCGTGGAGCCTCCTGGGTAGCGATATCCTTGCAAAGTGGGATTTTGCTGCCTTAAAGAATCGCTGCATATTGAAATCCACAGTAGCACCAATGATTTCTTTGAATCAGACAAGATGAGTACTTAATTGCAGCTCTTGTGATCCTCACTGCCTGCCTGGGCAGCTAATTCTGGAGCAGCTGCTTCTGGGGGCGGCTGTGGTTTCCTTCAGCCCCCAGGGCATTTGTCTCAGTTTGCTTCATGTGACTGGACAGGACAAGAATGGCTTTGGAGGCACTAATAAGCACTGGGGGGAGAGCAGGGGGTTGGATAATGCTAAGAGGTTGGTGGGAAGCAGCAAGCTGTCGATGTTGAACTTCCTGCTAATCTGGTGTGTTGCAGCTTGAGCCGGGTTCTGTTTGAAAGATAAATGTAATGCTGCCTTCTGTGTGCCCTAAGCTGGTTGGGCTGCTCGTTCCGGTGACGTAGCAGCCTGGTGTCCTCAGTTCTACATCTGCTGCTTCTGCGTGTCACATTGTCCTCTCTCTTGCCCGTGTCCCTGATTCCGATGGCTGTCCATCGCAGCCCACCTGGAAAAACTCAAGTCTTTCCCTCTGTTCCTACCCTTGTGCCCTAGAGAATGTCACAGACACCCCTGGCACCACCGGAGGTGTATGGACCCCAAGCACCACCCTCCGTCCCTGTAACTTCCCTCTTTCTTCGCATCTTTCCTGCTTTCCCCAAGTGACAGCTTGACCACTTCCCCTTGACTCTGAAAATAGAAACCAACAGACAGAAACTTCTACCTCCCCCACCAAAGCTGTTCCCTTATCACTGTCTGAATGATAAAAAGTCGATCCGTTTGGACTGGGCTTGCACAGCTAGTCAGGGCAGAACTGGAATATGTCCTTGAGCAAACTGATTCCAGAGGGCCCAGCACCTGTTATGGTGCCTGGACCACATAAGCACTGAGGTACTGGGTAAAAATGTGTTAAATGGACAAATGCTGGGCATAGAAGCCACAGGGCATAAATCTGTAAAGAAGTAAAAAGCTAACCTTTTCAAAGAATATTGCTTCTCTCTCACTTACCAACTTTACATCTCCCTGTATGGCCCCGGGAAGATGACTGGTTAGCCAGAGACGGGTAAGATTCCTCAAGGGAGGAACAACCTAAGACAGGCACAGTCGCAGGGGGGCCGTCAGGTGAGAAATTGGGGATCAACAGAGGTGAGGCTTAGAACCTCACCCCCCCTGTTTTGAGAGAAATCTTCTGCATCCGTGGATGTTTTGTTGCCCTTGTCTAGCTTGGATTAATACTTAGTCTATAGGCACACACCTGATCATCTACATTTGCCCTCTTACAGCACTAAACTATGTTTTCTACCTTTATCTTGCATCTACCTACCACTTCAGCATTTTATTAAAAAGAAAATAATAATAAGGGAGAAATGTGGGATTCACATATAAATCAAGTATAAAAATCAAACGAATAATCATATCTGACTTGATTGTTTATAGTTCATGATGCGTGATCAAAACCGAAAGTTTCTGTGATGACTGCCCTTGCACTGTTCACCATGTAAGAACTTATTCACTATGTAAGACCTTGTTCACCATGTAAGAACTTGTTTATTATGCTTCAGAAGATTGGAGACTGTTGAGATATAGGCTTGGGGTTGATTAATGACTGTGCATTGAGTCCCCTATACAGAATTTTATTGTTGTTAACAACCATTTGATCAATAAATATGAGAGATGCCCTCTCAAAAAAAAAATGTGTTAAATGAACCAATACATGAATAAATGAATCTGCAGAAGTAAGGAGGTTGAACTCCAGCTTTAGATTAGAATGCCCGTCAACTCAGCATCAAACACAGGGGAAAATAACAATGATTTTCTGGGGGAGGAGGTGGTGATACACAGTTAATTTATATTTTCAAATTTTATTCTTCAAATACATAAATAATATCTACTAATTAAAAAACATGTGGACGATTCATAGAAGTATAAAGAAGTAAAATAAAACCACTAAGAAAACCAGTAAAACCTGTTACCTCTTGAAATCCAAGTATCATCGGGAAAAAGAGGCTTCTGACATTTACACCTCTGTCTGAATGAATTTCAGATCCCTTTTGAAACCAACTGCGGTGAACGTATAAGGCTAGCATGCTAACAGCTGGTCCTTCTCCCCACTCCAGTTGTCAAGGGGCCCAAATGGGGATTGAAGTATTAATTTTATTTGTGACAACAAACCAGGTGCCCACTGACCCTCAAAGTACCTGGCCTGCAATGCTAGATTGGAGAATGTACCTGTATCGCCCACACCCTTCTCCAGGTTGACCCTATGTGAACAGATAGGGAGGTCTGGCCTGACTCACCCACCCCACCAGTCAGAGTTCTCCAGAGAAAGAGAGCCAGGAGCATAGTTATATATTTATATAGGGAGATTTATTTTAAGGACTTGGCTCATGCTATTATGGAGGCTTGGCAAGTCCAAAATCTGCAGGGTAGGCTGGCAGGCTGGAGACCCAGTGAAGAGCCCGGGTTGCAGCGCGAGTCTGAAGGCCATCTGTTGGCTGGATTCCTCCTTGCTTGGGGAAGGTCAGTTTTTTAGTTCTATTAGGCCTTCGATTGATTAGATGAGGCCCACCTACATTATAGAGGACAATCTGCTTTACACAAAGTCTGCTAATTCAAATGTTAATCTCATCCAAAAAACACCCTCACAGAAACATCCAAAATAATGTTTGACCAAATATCTGGCCCAGACTGGTGACATATACAATTGACCATCACACTCACCTTGCTTCAGGTGTCAAAACTGGGGAATGATCTCCTTCCCATCCAGAGGCTGGAGGTGGAGGGCTCTCTGTCCTTGAACTCTGGCATTGTCAAGGGCTCAGACACAGTTGTTTTTAATACAGTATATTTCGGACCTTGGTCTAATGTGGGTCAGTCCCTATCTCCAGACAGCCAGATGCTGGGCAGTAGGATGCTGGAGCTGGAAGAGGGTGGGGGTTTCCTTCTGCTTGAACCCCGTCTGCCTGTTTCTCGGGTGAGAGAAGGAGGCCCTTCTGCTCATTATGTCATCCACTTCGGAACATTCCTCATGCCCTGACCAGGATTTTACTTTCTCACCAGTATTAAGTTTGGTTTGTCCTCAGCTCAGATCTCATGCAAAGTTATAAGCGAATGATGCTTTGGCAGCATGAGACCAGTTAAAAAATGAAGAAGAGAGAGTTTACAAGAAAATCAGGATAGATTCTTCAAAAGGGGCTGATTTACACATCAAAGGATTAAAAGAAACCCTTGGGAGAACCGACCATGTATGCCAATATTTTTGTAAAAATGCGCTGTAAAGAATGAAGGAGTGGTTATTACACAATCAGAGAATTTTATCAGAAAAATTATCCCTCTCCATAAATGCCTGATTTATTTCTTATTCATTGTGAAAAGTAGTTTATGGTTCAAATTTTAATGGAAATGCTGTTAGATATAATGTAAAAAATACTTATTTAATTTCATTTTACTAGATGAAATTCACCCCAAGCATTTTTTTCATTTCCTTGGTACCAGTTATCCTTGGATAAGGAAGACTGTTTTCCATATGCTGGGATGGGAAAAACCTTCCTAAGCAAGACACAAAATGCCAAAGAAAAAGGCCATCTTAACTGACCACTAAATATTTGATAATTTTGTGTGGGAGCCTGATAATAGACAAACAACTCACTGGGTGAAAATCTGTATAATATGTATGTTCACTAAAGGTTAATAGCCATGATATGATATGTAGAAAATAAATAGAAATTAAAAAGAAAAAGAAAAGCCACCCAGTGACAAAATAGGCAAAACAAATCTGGGAATGGATATCCACCCTTAATGGTAATCAGGGAAGTGCAAAATTAAACATCAAAACACCATTTCAACCTATAAATTGCTAAAGATGTAGAGATAACTTCAGTAGTGGTGCAGGTGCAAATAAATACATGTTCTCAATGTGTTTTTGCCCTTTTGGAGATGCAGGTTAATAGGATGTAGCAAAATTTAAATAAAATAATGTTTGCCTTTTAATATAGAAATTTCACTTCTAGGAATAGAAATCTACCTCATAGAAATGCTCACATGTGCTCACACAGAATTAGCTACAAGTTGTTTGCTAAACTATAATAGAAAAATTGGAAATACTGCTATTACTGTGAATAATGGCTAGTACTTCTCTAAGTCTCTGGGGGAAGTGCTTGTCTAAATGCTTTATGTAAATGAGCTCAATCTCTATGATAACCCTGTCAGTGTTTTTATTATCCCCATTATACAGATGAAAGAGCCGAGGCAAAATGGTGAAGATGCAGTTTATTCAAGGCCTCATAGCTAGCAGGAGGCAGAATTGTAATGTGATGTGAGCCCAGGGGGTCTGGTCTGAGTCTGTGTTCGACGTCACTTGCTATACAACCAGTATCCAGCATAGAATTGGTTAAATCAATCTAGAAAGTCCTTACAAGGAATACCAAGGCATATTGTAAAATGAGACAAAAGGGTGGTGGTGTGATCCCGTTTATGAAATATACAACCATGTATATGGTGTGTGTGGGTGTGTGCGTGGGGTGTATGCGTGTAAATACACGGATGAAGGCGAACTGGAAGAAACAAACTTATTAGTGTTACATCTGCTAAGGGACATGCGGCTGGGGGCAGGTGATGGGGGTTCTGGTATAGGGAGACTTTTCATTTTTACTTTATAAATCTTTGAATTGTTGATTTTTAAGGTGATATATTTATTACTTGTATAATTTCAAGTTGTAGGAACCAAACACGAAGGGGTTGCAGGTACTTCTGATCTGGTCTGTAAATAGTCTAGTCTGAGGCTCAGTGATTGTTTCGAGTTTGGTCAGAGGGTGAACAGCAGTCCGAAGGCAGAGGCCCAGGAGCTGCAGCGGTGGGCTGGCACCTCTCTCCATGAGGCAGGGCTTCTGCGCTGGACTCACCCCTCCCTGGCCAAGGAGATAAGAGAGAAAATAGGGTATTTCTCACCTGTCTCTCTCTCTCTCTCACACACACATGATTTATGAGAGGCCGCTTTTATGAATGCAGTGTTTATTTGTTTAAATAAAGATGTATCGGAGGAACATGGCATCGGGGTGTGCTCTGAATAGGGTAATGACATGCTTAATATGATTATCTCTTTATGGACTGGCAAACCCAAAGTCATTTACAATGCCTTCCTCAACTATAGAATTTGAAGTCTAAAAAGACTCACTTTCCCAGACTCCCTTGCAGCTGAAGGGTGACTATGACCCAGACCTGGTCTATGAGATGTTCGTTGATATCACTGATTGGACTTCAAGGAAGCTTCTTGACGGTGCAGTCCAGACTGGAATGACCTATCTGCTGCTTCTTCCTCCTTCCTGACCAGACCACAGACGTCTGTAAGTCTAAGGATGAAAGTCACACACTGTTAGTTTCCTGGGGCTGCTGTAACAAATTACCACAAATTGGGTGGCTTAAACAACAGACATTTATTCTCTGACAGTGCTAGAGGCTAGAAGTTCAAAATCAAAGTGTCAGCAGGGGCATCCTCCCTCTGAAGGCCCCAGGGGAGGATCCTTATTCCTTTTTTCCTAGCTTCTGGTGTTTCTGGTAATCCTTGGCCTTCCTGGGCTTGAAGAAGCTTCACTCCCATTCTGCCCCTGCTGTAACATGCCATTCTCTCTGGGTCTGTGTCTCTTCTCCTCTCATATGGGAACCAGTCGTGTTGGATTTAGAGTCCACCGTATTCCAGTATGACTGTCTCTTAACTTGATTACATCTGGAAAGACTGTATTTCCAAGTGACATCATATTCACAGGTACTAGGGATTAGGATGGTAATACCATTTTTGTCATAAAACACACTAAGAATAAAGATGGATGCCCCTGATAGCTCTGTGGAACCACTATCCACCTTGGACAGCTGACCTGTGCCTTCTTATGAGAAGCTCTTGTTTAGGTTTTATTTTCCTTGCAGTAGCACATTCCTAACTGACACATTTCTAGTTGTCATACCTATTCATCTATCCATCCATCCATCCATGTAGTCAGCCAATTTTTGGAAGATTCCTATATTATTCTAGGCAGGGAGCTAGGCTATATCTTACTTAGAATTGAGCCTTTCACAGAGAGAGTACTTAATATTTATTTGTTCAGTACATGCATGGAAGACCAATTCCTTTGCTTTCATGGAACTTATAGTTTAGAAAGTACACACAAAAATAGACAATTAAAGCAGAGAGAGAGAGACTAAATGTGATGGGGCTTGTACCTAACTCAGACTTGGGGTTTAAGGGAGGTTCCTTGTGACAAAGGTGGTGGGGGTATGTAGAGTAGCTGAAGTATGCGTTTAAGTAACTGAGAAAATGTTTATTATGACTGACCCTTGGAGGCTAGGAAAAGGGGAAGGGTGGAGAGAGGGAATGGGAGATGTGTGTGTGGATGAATACCAGGGGCATCAGGAGAGATGAGGCTGGAGACACAAGCACCACGCTTGAGATCATTCTTTAATGTTTGAACCTGTGTGTGTGCTGAGTGGTGACTGTGAATGGTAGTTTTATATTTGGGAGTAGAGGGTCTGGCAGTGGGATGTCTTTTAATTTTTAAGTTACTGGCTGATATGACAGTAAGTACAATGCACAGCAGAAGAAAAAGGGCCTTAAGATGTAAACATCACTCTCTTGTGTTCTTAGCGATGCCCCTGGGAAACCCCTGATTCTTGGGTCTATAGTTTGGAAGCTCAAGTTTTGTATCTCATGTCGCATGTGTTAACACTTGAGGGCTGTGTCCAGTAGGGCTTGCCTTTGCACATCGCCCTCGTGCAGCTGTGTTTTCTGGGCGAGGCCCGTGGAGAGCTGGTTTAATGCCAAGTGCTCACTCCCAGAACTCACTCAGATTCTCGCCTTACAGCTGGCTTGCTGAGCAAACAGGCGTAGACAGCTTTCACCTCCACACACTTCTTTTCCTGCATCTCTAAGATTAACCTTCTAAAAGTTCATAGAAAAACAAAATAAATGCATGATGTCTTGTACATTGTAAGTACTAAAAATTGATTGAACAAATGTATACAGATTGAAGCACAAATACGATCCATGTCTTGGGAAGAGTCACTGCCTTCATTTTGAGGGGTGATCAGACAGCTGATTTTGTGGCTCTGTGGATGGATGAACGATCAGGCAGAGTCTGTGGCTCTTCTGGTCATCTCGGCTGGTACTGACCTAGATATGTAGCATTGGTGTGTTCCAGGCCTGGCAGGTGTTGAAAGCTGAGCAGTTCTTTAGAGGGTTCCCTGTGGGTTCTTGGGGAGCCCCGTCAACTCGGACCTCTTGTCTTCTTTCTCTTGATGTAGGTGGACAAATTTCTGTAATAGCTGGTCACTTGTGACCCCTTTGTGGTCCCTAGCATCTAGATGTACCCCTCTGGGCTCTTTCCATTAGGAGTCGCCTTGCCCCTCTAGGGAAGCCCTTTACAGCAGCATCTAAGACAACCCCTGCCAGCTTTATCTCATGGCCATCCTTGGCCCATCACATATTCTTTACCAGGACATATTCAGGTTGCTCAGGCCAAGCCCAGTGCAGCCGTAGCCTCTCCTGGCCTCTGCCCACAACCCAGGAACCAACCAACCCTGCCCTCGTTAGACTTATCAGGCATGAGTCAGGGACTGCTCCTCTGATGCCCTAAACTATAGCGGGTACACATTAGGCTTTTTAAATAGTCCCACTGAAGCCCCTTTCCCTGGGCTTGAGGTGGGGGAAGAGCATCCCTAATGGGAAGGAGAGGACACAGCATGCTGAGAACTCCCTGCATACACCTGTCCTTGTCAACACCTCCTGCCTGTCTTCTCTCCTTGTGGTTTAGGGACCCAGGAGTCATGAATCAATTTTGAAAAGTTTGTATTGCTGCCTCTCACCCCTCTTTGGAATAGGGCATGTGTTCATGCTTCAGGCAAAACATGAACTTTAACATCCTGTTACAGTTTCTCTGAACTTTGTTTCCTCATCTGATACCTCATCTGATACCTATGCAGCCATAGGGTGGTTGTGAAGTAAAGGAGATATCCAAATGAAGTCCTGACTGTGTCTGGCATGGAGTGGATGCTTGGCCAGTGGTTCGTCCCTCCCAGTTGGCCTCATACTCTTGAAGGTGTTAATTGAGACTGGTGGTCAACTTGCCTGGCAAAATTACTTCTCATGTCAGCTTTCAGAGAAACAATAGGATATTGTCTTGATGTAGTCCCTGGAGTTGATTTCTCTGCTGCATCCCTGGTGCTGGCACCTAGATTATCCAGTAGTTCCGTCAACACAAGGAGGTGAAGGGTCATTCCTTTAACTATGAGTCTCCAAGCACTTCATCCAGAGGAACTAGTGCTGATGACACACAGGACAGAGTCTGTAGGGTACCCAAACCCCAGGACCACGGACTTGAATGTGAGTCACTGCCCAACACATTTCTCCCTCTGGGGCTCCTTTGTATCTGGTCTCTATACTGCATCCCTTGGTGGGAAGGAGGAAAGGGCAGGGGATTGTTTCCTGAAAGGGAGGGGAAGTGATGTTCAGATCTGCACTTAGTAGGGCTGAGAAACTGGCCTTTCTTCATCTTATAAAACTGAGTCTCAGAAACAGCCAAGATTTCACCTGGCTAAGGAAGGAAAAATCTTGGAGGAGCTAGAGAATCACTAGTTTCCATTCTGAAGTTTTCTGGGTATGTCAGTGTCCATTGACTGAGGATGAGTCCACACTACCCACCAGAGGTCCTCTGGTGTACTTGACCCAATTCCCCCAACCACAAAATTTTCGGGTATCATGTTAGGATGTTACAATATATTCTATTACCCTTAAAGCAGATGCTCAACTATATCCCTTGATTTGTGGTAATTCAGGAGTTCAGAGGAAATAAGCTGAGCCTTGTCCACAGATAAACTTCAGGCATATATTGACCAAGGGAAACAGGCCAGGACCAGGGTGAGAGAGTCAATGGAGGTCCACAACCATATGTACACGTATGTTAAAGTTATGAGTCAACCTGATAAACTATCAGATACAGTGTATCCTTCGACTTTGACAAATGTACTTTCGTAATGACCTGGAAGGCCAAATTCAAATTCAGAATTCTTAGACTTCTTGGATTTCTACTTCTGAACATCACAGTGTGGGAGAGCCATTCCCTGCCTGAGTTCTGTCTGTCTTCTGTTTGCACATGTAGGTCTATCTGTCACTGCAAGAAGATTCAAATGTGCGCATGTGGACACCGTAGGCCCTAATTGCAAGCTCTGTCCACAATATCCCCCAAGCAGTTGCCCCTTGGCCACCTCCCAAGTCTGTCCAGGCTGGAGGTGTAGCCTGCCCTTGGGAGAACAGACCCCAAATAAGAGGGTATGCAGACTTTATAAGTTATCTTGGGGCCATTTGGGCAGGGATTCTAGGATCCTGGGTACCTGGAGCATGGAAGACTGTAGTCTCTGAGTGAGCATGTTCCCTTGATCCTATTAACTCCCCTCCCTGTGAGATGGAGCATGTCTTGAAAGGCAAAGTAGAGCCTTCTAAAGCATGAGGCTCAGGGCAGGGGTCTTCTTACTCAAGTCTAATGGCTGTTGTTGATTGAAGAGTCCCTAAAGGAAGCCCTAGTCTTAGGAAGGACATCTTGGCTGCTGAGAAAAGAAATCAACAGTGGATGAGAAAGAAGGCTGGAAGAATAGACAAGTTGAATAGCACAGTCTGGTTGAGCAGGGTACAATGGTCCCAGGTATGGGGTGAGGCTGTACTTAGCCAGTCCTCAAACTAGTGGCTTCCCCTTCAGCAGCCCTTACCCCAAATTCCAGTGCCTGTGAAATCTGGGGAGAAGAGGGCTTTCATGTAATGGAAACAACCAAATCCAAGTTACAAGCTCAATAGCTCTGGTGTGGAAAGTCCCTCTGAAATTGCTGGTTGTGCCAGGACTCAGGGAGCATTTTCCATAGGTCAGAGATCTGCAGAGGTTGGAGGTGTGAAGGCTTTTGGGATGTAGGAGGTGAGGGGGCCAAAGATCAGTGGTAGTTAGAGAGGGAGAGGGAACATGAGGGAGGCAGAGAAATAACAGTCACGGGGCAGAAGGCTGGAGAGGGGAGTTGACCCTGGAAGCGAGGGTCTAGAGAGCTGCAGGCAGCAGCCCTGATTATCCGTCAGCTCCCATGGGACCAATAGAGAGAAAGCCTGGGGATCAATCTGGCTACATGTATAGTTTCCACGGGAACTTTGGAGACTCTTGGAGTGGGGACCCTGGGAAAAGACAGGCCTCCCTGTGATTCAGGGTAACAAGATGGAGCCAATGAAGAGTCAGAGCATCTAGATATAGAGTTAATAGAACATGATTAATTTGAACATGTAAGGCCTGAGCTTGTCTGATTCCAGAAGTTTTTTGGAAAAATGAAAAAAAAAAAAACAACCTAAAGAATTTACTTGTTTCCTAATGAGGCGTCTGGGTGCATTACGTACTTGTAGTATGTTCTTAATTATAGATTATGAAATAATGGGGTGCACAAAAAAAATGCTTCCTATCTCCAGATGTGCCTGTCTTTAGTACAAGGCAATTGAAGTGGATTTTTCTGTTTCATCCTTAATTGTAATCTTTTTCCAGTTAATTCTCAGGAAGACAGATGTTTCCAATTTAGCCTTGAGAAGTATACAGTAATAAAATAATTTTCAAATTAGCATGTTGGTAGGGACTAGTGTTTATAATCCATTTTGGAAAAAAAAAATAATTTAGCCTTGAGAAGTATACAGTAATAAAATAATTTTCAAATTAGCATGTTGGTAGGGACTAGTGTTTATAATCCATTTTGGAAAAAAAAAAGCTCCGCCTTTGCCTGTTGCAGCTCTGTTAGGAAGATGGAACTGCCAAGCAAGCACTATCATGTTCTCTCCTGGACTTTTATGGTCAGATTCTGATTTAGACATAACATTCTTCCTTTGAAGTGCTCTGCAGAGGCTGACCAAGTATTTATATATTTTCAAACATGAGGTTCCTCTTTTCTTTTTCTTTTTTTTGTTTGTTGGTCAAAAAATCTTCCTTTTTGATGAGCCCTCACTAAATCTTATTTGACTATTTGTGAAGCTTTTTAGAAGACACTAGATAACTGTTCTACTGATTAAGCCTCTGAGGGAGTGAAGAATTCCAGGGGAGACCCATTATCTGTTCCACTGGAGAAAATTTGGCTAAGCAGTGGGGAATGACAGAAAACAGCATGAAGATAAGCACGTGGTTGGTCATTTCAAGCATCCCACTGAGATGCATAGAAGGAGAATGTGACTTCTAACACCTGGGCTCTGGCCAAGGCCAACCACCGTGGCTTCTCAGGAACAAGCTCTCCACCTACTTTTCATTCCATTCATGGTGGTAACCTTGAGCTAGGATTCATTTGTTTCTCAGTCTTGTCCAGGTTCCAGGTCTGTGCTCATTCAGCAGAAGGAGGGTATTGCAATGGCTGCCATTTCTTTGGGACTACTTCTCTTGGGAGAGGTAGAGTGTTCTTCCACTCTCCTTGATTTTGGGCTGGCCTGTGACTAATCCAAACACTATATATGCTAGAAACAATTCTAATGCAGTTTCAGGCATAGGCTTTGGAAGGATTGCAGCTTCCACACTGATACTTAGAGTCCTGAGTTGCCAGACAAAAATTCCAACTATTCTGTTGGAAAGACCACATGGAAAGGCCCTGGAACTCTCTAGACAAGGAAAGGGATCTAGCTGGGCCCAGCCTTCCAGACACTTCTATTAAGACACCAGGCATATGGGTGGAGCCTTCTTAGACCCTCTAGACCCAGACCAGTCACAGCTGAACAGTATCTAGTAACTCCAATCAACAGCACAAGAAGCATAATTGCCCAAATGAATCCTGCCCAGATTACTGACCCACAAAATTTTGAGTGATACCTGTGGTTTTAATCCATTACATCCTGTGTAGTTTATTTTATGGCAACCCATAATCTTAACAGGCATGGCTGCCACCTGGGAAATAGGCAGAGAATTCAGACATCATCCTGAAGCACCTTGATGGAGTCCATTCCTGGGGACTACACTATAAAAAAACAAGCCCAGAAAGAGGGATTTCTCAAAACATTTCCATCTCCAGAGAATTATGAACACCCCTCAGAGGCCCAAATTCAACGAGCGCCCAGATTACACATCTGCCTCTCTGCTTTTTGCCAAAGTCTCTGGCCCCTACAAATAGACTTCCAATGGGCAGGCTCTACTAGTCCATCCAACTGGGCACGTCTGAACCTCCCTGCTTATGCAGCGTGGGCTCAAGCCAGGACCTGTTGTCAAAACAGTATCTCACTTGCACCCAGTTCAGCATCTCTGATCTGCTGAGTGGTTCCTAATCAAATGACCCCCACCACTTTACTATGTCGACAAAAGAGTGAGTGATGGGTGAGGTCAGTCTCCCACCAAGTATAAACCTGATCTGTGTTACAATGTCTTTAACTGAGAAGTTTCTCCATAAGAATTCTTATAACAAGTATAGCTGTGGTTGGGGAAAGAAAAGAACACAGTGGGATGCAGCTCTGTAGATAAGAATACAAAATATCTCAACAATTTGCAAACTTTTTCAGCTGCTCAAGCCTCAGTATATATCACACAGACAATAAAATAAACAAAATCAGCATTATTTACTTGGCATGAATAACTCCTGGCTCTAGAACCATGGACATGTAGTTAAAGCTGGGCTGCCTTTGCTCTGTTGGGCTTGTCAGGCTGTTCTCTGAATGTAGTGCCTTCTTATGAAACTGCATGGAAATATCTGAAGGACCAGTGTTATTTCTGAGGCAATGTCTCTCAAGGTTTCACTAAGGAAAGTGGTGTTAAAATGGTTAATCTAGTGAACTGTATTTAAGGATTTTAGCACCTCTGTTTCCCATTGTTAGGCAATGTAGTGTGAAACTGAACTTTTTTCAATCGATTTTTGGAAATTCATTTTTTGAGACTTTTTCTGTCCTGAATGCAACATTGTAATTTGAAGGACTTCTGCATAGAAAGCAAAAAACTCAACTGGTTTAATTTTCCTAGAAAAAGGATCTCAAATCACATTTGTTATAATCCTGCATTCAATAGGAATGTCCTGGATATGTACTGAATTGACATTTTGGTTTCTGTTAGAAGAGTGTGTATTCTAGGACACTCATGAGTTCTTGATGAGAATTTCATATTGTCTGTTTTAATTTACATGATACAATAAGAAAATTACTATTAGCATGTTCTGATTCATCTGAATGACTACCTTATAACCAAGTACTTCCACATACTTTCAAACACTGCTTGTTTGAATTTAACTTATAACTTTGTTTTTAATTTATAGTTGCATAAGACCTATACCATTCACTTTAGTCCTAGCTTTATATTTGCATATGTGTTACTTTATTAAGCTCACGTTTTTGTGCCAGGCACCTAACTAAAAACTTTACATGCGTTATTGCCTTTGCTCCCCTCAACAACTCAGTGCAGAAGGTACTGACATTATCTCTATTGTATGGGAGGGAACTGAGGCGCAGAGGGGTAAAGCTTAAGTAACAGAAGGACAAATCAGACTCTCTTAAGTAATAATAGAGATTTGTTAACTCACAGAATTGAGAAGTCCGGAGGAAACGAGCTTAAGGTACGTTTTGGCTAGGGTTCTGGCTCAAGTGCTGTGTAATTACTTTGGTTCAACCCCTCCTGCGTGTCCACTTCATTTTCTAGGTGGCTTCTGTCAGGATCACAAGATGGCTAGCCTCAGCCGCCAGGATCCCAGTTTCCTCCTTTACATGTAGGGAGAAAGAGTCCCTTCCACAGCTCTTACTGGTTTCGCTGTGATTGGGTCGATTCAAACCCATCTTGGTGGCCAAGAGAAGTTCCAACTGATTGGTTTAGGCTTGAGGTGGTCATGTGCCAGTGGGGATGGGATTATCATGATTGGCTCCATAAACTGACCACTGTCTCCCATGGGGTTCAAGATTCAGTCCCACACAAACTATATGGCTGCTACACAATGGATGTCTGCTGAAATGGAGTTAAGGGGAGAAGTAATCACATGTTACTGTATTTAGTTAAGTTTCCTCAGATCATGTGGTTAATAAATGATAGCTAGGATCCAATCCAGCAGACAGACTCCAGGGTCAGCATTTTTAACCTCTATAATCCGTATCTAAGTATATCTGTAATAAAAATTATTTGAATGAACAAGTCCAAAACTTGATTTTAAGAAAGACTATGTGTGAGAATATTTTAAAAAGAGAAAGAGAAAAGATAAGCAATTTGGTATCTGCTATCCAGTGCTGTGTAACACATCACCCCAAAACTTAATGGCTTATCTTTTGTGGTTTCTGGGTCAGGAGTCCAGGAAGGACTTGGCTGGGTGATTCTTGCTCATCTTTCATGTCACTGTGGTCACACAGTGGTTGGAGCTGGAATAACTGGGGCTGGCTAGACATTTCTGTTCACTTACTCTCAGCATTACTCTGCATGGGGTAGTTTGGGTTTCCTTCAACCATGGTGGCTTCAGAGAAGATAGATGGTAACTCAGCTCTCCAGAAGCAAGTGTCCTGGGAAGATCAGAGGGAAGCTTTGTCACCTTTTATACCTGGACTTTGAAATGACACACATACCTTTCACCAAAGTTATGAACGGGCCCAAATTTACAGATTGGAAACATAGACTCCACATCTCTGTGGAAGGATTACCAAAGTCAGTTGCACTATCTCTGAATTAGGATGTGAGACATTGTCATTCCATCTTTGGAAAATATAGTCTGCACAATTTTTATACATATGTTACTGATGGGTTCTTGAGATTTTGAAAACAGAATGAACACCTAATGAGTAACCTATGGAGTTGCTTATGGACACCTATAGCTGTTTGCTTTCACATTTCAACTGACTGCTTTAGAACATGATGTGAGAGGAAAGTAGTGATTCCTTCCCTATCACGGTTGCATTTTGCAGGGGTTTGCTTCTTTGTACCATTTTTTTTCAACCGCAAGAGCTTTGTTTCTCATGTTTGTGAGTTGGAAAAGGATAAAACTGGGAGTTTGGGAATAGAAAAGGAAGATAAAGCAAATGGCAGATCAGGAGGAGAGGGTTTCCACTAAAATGTAGGAGAAAGGAAGGAAGATGAGGAATATGTAATCCAGGACTTAGACCATATCCTCCTGTCTGTGGGAGAGGGGGAGCCGAGACATTAATCAGAGTTGCTGGCAGCTCCCGATACGCCTTGAAGCAATGCTGCGCAAGGCAAGCTGTGTAACGGGCAGTGGGAAAGTGTCTGAAGAAGCACCTACTCACTCCTGCTGTGGAAGTGTGATAGCTACACAAAGCATCTTGAACATCCCTCTGCATTTCCAGAATCATAGTTAAGAATGAAAAATTCCATGTCATAACATTAAAATGAAAACAAATGTTGAGATGCTCATTATCCATAATAAAGAAAAACAAGCATGTCACTAAAACCAGAGGAAGGGAAACTGTAAAAGATTTCTAGGTATTAGAGCATAATAAATGGAACTTAATCATAGAAAACCATTACTGCAGATTTAATATGCATAAAATATAATTAGTAAATTAAAAATAGAACTACCATATGTTCCAGCAATCCCATTTCTGGGTATCTCTCCGTAACAATTGAAATCAGGATCTGGAGGAGATATTGTCATTCCCATGTCTGCAGCAGCATTGTTGTCTGTCTGTCTATCTATCTATCTATCTATCTATCTATCTATCTATCTATCTATCTATCTATCTATCTATCTATCATCTCTTTCAATTAATTAATCTATTTATTTATTTATTGGTATCATTAATGTATAGTTACATGAGCAACACTGTGGTTACTAGACTTTGCCCATTATAAAATTCCCACAACACACCCCATTACAGTCACTGTCCATCAGCGTAGTAAGATGCTGTAGAATCACTACTTGTCTTCTCTGTGTTATACTGTCTTCCCCGTGCCGCCTCGCCCCCGCTCCCCACCACATTATGTGTGCTAATCATAATGCCCCTTTTTCTCCCTTATCCCTCCCTTCCCACCCATCCTCCCCAGGCCCTTTCCCTTTGATAACTGATAGTCCATTCTTGGGTTCTGTGAGTCTGCTTACAGCAGCATTGTTATTTTTCACTTTTTATTAAGGTATATCATTGATTTACAATCTTATGAAGGTTTCACATGAGCAACATTGTGGTTACTACATTTACCTATATTATCAAGTCCCCCCCACATACACAGTCACTGTTCATCAGCATAGTAAGATGCTGTAGAGTCACTACTTGTCTTCTCTGTGCTATACTGCCTTCCCCGTGCCCCCATACATTATGTGTGCTAATCGTAATACCCCTTAATCCCCTTCTGCATGCCCTCCCTTCCTGCATGGCATTCCCACTCCCTTTCCCTTTGGTAACTGCTAATCCCTTCTTGGGACTACAGTCTGTGAGTCTGCTGCTGTTTTGTTCCTTCAGTTTTGCTTCGTTGTTATACTCCACAAATAAGTGAAATCATTTGGTACTTGTCTTTCTCCGCCTGGCTTACTTCACTGAGCATATTACCCTCTAGCTCCATCCATGTTCTTGCAGATGGTAGGATTTGTTTCTTCTTATGGCTGAATAATATTCCATTGTGTATATGTACCACCTCTTCTTTGTCCATTCCGTCAACACTTGGGCTGCTCCCATATCTTGGCTATTGTAAATAGTGCTGCGATAAACATAGGGGTGCACGTGTCTTTTTGAATCTGTGGTCTTGTTTTTTTGGATAAATTCATAGGAGTGGAATTCCTGTGTCAAATGGTATTTCTATTTTTAGTTTCTTGAGGAACCTCCATATTGCTTTCCACAGTGGTTGAACTAATTTACATTTCCATCAGCAGTGTAGGAAGGTTCCCCTTCCTTCGCATCCTTGCCAGCATTTGTTGTTCCTTGTCTTTTGGATGTTGGCCATCCTAACTGGTGTGAGGTGATATCTTATTGTGGTTTCAATTTGTATGTCCCTGATTAGTGACCATCTGAATTTCTTCTTTGGAGAAGTGTCTGTTCAGATCCTCTGCCCATTTTTTAATCAGGTTATTTGTTTTTTGGGTGTTGAAGTGCGTGAGCTCTTTATATATTTTGGATGTTAACCCCTTATCGGATAAGTCACTTATGAATATACTCTCCCATAATGTGGGATGCCTTTTTGTTCTACTGATGGTGTCCTTTGCTCTACAGAAGCTTTTTAGTTTGATGTAATCCCATTTGTTCATTTTTGCTTTTGTTTCCCTTGCCTGAGGAGATGCATTCAGAAAAAAGTTGCTCATGTTTATGTTCAAGAGCTTTTGCCTATGTTTTCTTCTAAGAGTTTTATGGTTTTATGACTCACATTCAGGTCTTTGATCCATTTCAAGTTTACTTTTGTGTATGGAGTTAGACAATAATCCAGTTTCATTCTCTTACATGTAGCTGTCCAGTTTTGCCAACACCAGTTGTTGAAGAGACTGTCATTTCCCCATTGTATGTCCATAGCTCCTTATCATATATTAATTGGCCGTGTATGTGTGGGTTTATATCTGGATTCTCTATTCTATTACATTGATCTATGGGTCTGTTCTTGTGCCAGTACCAAATTGTCTTGATTACTGTGGCTTTGTAGTAGAGCTTGAAGTTGTGGGGTGTAAACCCCCCACTTTATTCTTCCTTCTAAGGATTATTTTGGCTCTTCGGGTTTTTGTGGTTCATGTGAATTTTAGAACTATTTGCTCTAGTTTGTTGAAGAATGCTGTTGGTATTTTGATAGAGATTGCATTGAATCTGGAGATTGCTTTAGGCATGATGGCCATTTTGACAATATTAATTCTTCCTATGTATTAGCATGGGATGTATTTCCATTAGTTGGTGTCTTCTTTCATTTCTCTCATGAGTGTCTTGTAGTTTTCAGGGTATAGGTCTTTCACTTTCCTAGAAAGTTGTCCTTTTCTTCAAGATTATCCAATTTGTTAGCATGTAATTTTTCATAGTATTCTCTATAAGTCTTTGTTTTTCTGTGGTGTCCATAGTGATTTTTCCTTTCTCATTTCTGATTCTGTTTATGTATGTAGACTCTTTCTTTCTTGATAAGTCTGGTTAGGGGTTTATCTGTTTTGTTTCTTTTATCGAAAAACCAGCTCCTGGTTTCATTAATTCTATTGTTGTATTCTCAATTTTATTTATTTCTTCTCTGACATTTATTATGTCCCTCCTTCTACTGACTCTGGACGTCAGTTCTTCTTTTTCTAGTTGCATTAACTGAGTTTAGAGTGTTCATTTGGGATTGCTCTTCTTTCTTGAGATCTGTATTGCTACATACTGTCCTCTTGGAACTGCCTTCTCTGCGTTCCACAGAAGTTGGGGTGTTGAGCTGTTGTTTTCATTTTTCTCCATATATTGCATATCTGTTTTAATTTGGTCATTGATCCATTGATTGTTTAGTAGCATGTTGTTAAGCCTCCATGTGTTTGTGGGCTTTTTTTGTTTTCTTTGCACAATTTATTTCTAGTTCCATACCTTTGTGGTATGAGAAGTTGGTTGGTACAATTTCAATCCTTCTGAATTTACTGAGGCTCTTTTTGTGGCCTAATATGTGATCTATTCTGGAAAATGTCCCATGTGCACTTGAGAAAAATGTGTATCCTGCTGCTTTTGGGTGGAGTGTTCTATTGATGTCTGTTAGGTCCACCTGTTCTAATATGTTGTTCAGTGCCTCTGTCTCCTTACTTATTTTCTGACTGGTTGATCTGTCCTTTTGAATGGTATATTGAAGTCTCCTAAAAAAAATGCATTGTATTCTATTTCCCCCTTTAATTCTGTTAGTATTTGTTTCACATATTTGGGTGCTCCTATGTTGGCTGCATAGGTATTTTTAATGGTTATATCCTCTTATTGGACTGACCCCTTTATCATTATATAATGTCCTTCTTTGTCTCTTGTGACTTTCTTTGTTTTGAAGTTTATTTTGTATCATACAAGTACTGCAACTCCTACTTTTTTCTCCCTATTAGTTGCATGAAATATATTTTTTTCCATCCCTTCACTTTTAGTCTGTGTATGTCTTTGGGTTTGAATTGAATCTCTTTTAGGCAGCATATAGATGGGTCTTGCTTTTTTATCCATTCTGTAACTCTATGTATTTTGATTGGTGCATTCAGTCCATTTACATTTAGGGTGATTATTGATAGATATGTACTTATTGCCATTGTAGGCTTTAGATTTGTGATTACCAAAGGTTCAAAGGCAGCTTCTTTACTATCTAACAGTCTAACTTAACTCTCTTATTGTGCTATTAGAAACACAATCTAAAGATTGTTTTTTTTCTCCCTTCTTTTTCTTCCTCCTCCACTCTTTATATGTTAGGTGTCACATTCTGTACTCTTTGTGTATCCCATGACTGACTTTGCAGGTAGTTGATTTAATTTTACACTTACTTAGTAATTAAGTGTTCTACTTCCTTTACTGTGTTTTAATTTTCTCTGGTGACAGCTATTTAGCCTTAGGAGCACTTCCATCTAGAGCAGCCCCTTTAAAATACACTGTAGAGATTGTTT